ATCGAGAAGCCCATGAGCTGAATCGGTTTGCGGCCCCACGAGTCGATCAGAAGGAAGGATGCCCAATATCCGGGGATAAGGCCGGCGGCGGAGAGGATGCAATTGCCCACGGATACGTTGTGAAGGGACTCGTAGATCCCCAGGCCACCGGTTGCCTTTGAGCCTCCAAAGTTGATAGTGGTCAAGATGATGGACGAGTTCAGGCCGAGGCCGTAAAAGGCGATCTAAGCGAAGGGCATATATGTCGGCCATAATCAATGCGAATGGATGTAAGGACGCATACGTCAAGGGCAAACCACGACCAGGCCGTGCCGATAAGGACCTTCATGTTCTCCCATTTGCCGAAATAGAGGGCAAAGTCGCGGCGGCTTGCCTTGGGCGCCTCGGCGTGAACCACGACGGCATCGGGATCGACATAGTAAGTCGAGTCGCGAACCATATTTTTGATGTCGTCCGTGGCTTGCTTGACGTTGCGCTCGATATCCACGGTGAAGCGGGGAGTTTCGGGGATGGTAAGACGGAAGTAGAGGGCAACGCATCCGGGAACACATCCGAGGCCGATGAGCAAACGCCAGCATATATCGACATGCTTGAGGCTGGGAGTGTCGTTGATAATCTGGTTTTTGAACGCGGCCACGACGACCAAGGAAACAATTGCTGCGGCTGACGAGAGGGAGAAACTTTAGGCGAAGGAACCCTCCGGAAGGACAATCCGCTCACCGAGTTGGCCCCATCCCTGGAAAGCAAAGACGGCCGTCATGAGACGACCGCGGGAACGAGTGGAAGCAAATTCGGAGGATATGACGGCACTAAGAGGGTAATCGCCACCGATGCCGATGCCGAGGAGGAGTCGCCACACGCAGAGTACACCTACATAGTTCGTCGAATGATAGGTTACCCTGCTTCATACGTCAGCTTAGAATGTAGGGTGCTGACCTGTAATATTAACGGCAGGTCCACTTGTGCTCAGGGCCTGGCCTAAATCACAAGGAGGTCATTAGATGCGACGTCGGTGGGTTGTAGATTTCCGAGTCACAAACCAAAAGTCGCCACGATAATTATCATGAGCTCAATGCCGTCTAAGTTCACAATGATGAGCGACAGTCCTGTAATTATCGAGATGATTCACTCACACATGCGTTTACGTCCCACGACATCTGCAAGCCAGCCAAAGAGCAGCTGACCGATGATGTTGCCGATGGGTGTGGCGACCTTGATCCCCAGATCTTGGTTTATCCCGAGAGTGGTGTTGAGGGCATGGGTACTGTGGGCGGCGTTGGCAGGGTTGTTGTACACGTATCCGAGCATGGTGGACGCGATATTGATGGCAAAAATATCGTAGCTATATACGGATAAGCGGAATGTATGCGCGGTACACAAGCTGGTGACTTACGCGTCGGTGAAAAAGCCTACGCCGGCGACAAAACAGACTTTGACGTGGAACCAACTGGAGAAAATGAGACGAGGCAGGGAAGAAGAAAGAGGGTGAAAACGCACGAGAACTTGGCATCGTCGATTTCAGCGAGGGCGGCCCTTCTGCGTTCGTCGAGATCGTGAGTCACAGGCTTCTCCGCGGAGTGAGAGGAGGACATGGTGAACCCTGTGGGTGGCGGGGCGAACGAGGGTAGGAGAGGAGGGAGAGGGCGATGAAGGTCGTTTATGAAGGGCCAAAAGAGAACAGGCTGGCCTGATAGGATTAGGACGCCACTGAATGGTCAATGCTGGTGGAGGCATGTGCATTCGATACGCATGTTCGGCGGTATTGAAACGGCTGTGTGATCCCCAGGAAAGTCCTTAGCTGTGCGCCTATATCCACACACGTTCGTCCTCTTCTGCCTTACATTCTTACCTTCACGAACCTTCCCCCGCCCGCGGAACCGTTCCCGTTCGCATCATTCATGTCAAGGACGACCGGCCATCCGTTCCCCGATGAAAGTCGTCCAAGGTTCCCAGAGCTTGCACACTTTCGGCCGATGCATCCCAACAGCCACAACTGTCTGGTCGACCCAACGTGCGCCCCACACACTCATCAATAAGTACACGGAACCGGGTTGACAAAGACGCACAGTACCATGCTATCCGGGGCAGGTCGACATGGTTGGGCATTGAAGTTGAACAACGCGCGGTACATACAGGTACTGTAAGTAGGGCGTTTCGGACAGTGATCCAGACGCCGCAAGGAACCAACAACTCCCAAAGCTCAAGCCCAAGGACCAAGGAACAGTCAATACCATTGTGGGGATACTCTTGACCCTTCTTCACGCTGTTTTTGAGATAGGCGTCTTCGTTCCAGGCGAGGTCCCTTGAGGGCTTTACAGAAGGAAACACCAGCTCACCGGTCGTGGTACCCAGAGGAATGGCGTCTTGAAAGGCGGCGTATCCGCGGCAATGTAGGAACGGCGATGTGCAGAGAGGGTCCAACTGAACAGGAAGATGCTCGCCGCTTCGGCAGCACAGGAACAAGTTGTCGAAGACACCGAGGTCACAGAAGACTGGGGAACCTGTACGCCGTAATGGGGGCCAATCTCCCGGACACATTGATCTTGAGTAGGATGAATGTAGCTTTTCCATCGGAGAGTTAGGACTTCTGAAGCGCCGGAACATCGAACAGCGCCACGGGGCAGCCTCCCGCCTTTTTGCGCAGTAAGTTGTCGACTTCAGACAGCCGCCGTGCGCGGGATCGCAGTCGACAATCCATTCCCGTGGGTAGCCCAAGGGATTCGGAAACTCAGCCTACGGAAAGTAGACAGTCATTACGAATCCTCAGGCCTCAGGTTGGTCTGCTGCTGTCTGCGATTGAGTCGATTCGCAGTCCGCAGACCCCTTTCCCACGCCCCTTGCCCATCCGAGTCACCACTTTGCTTGTCCCCTCCGAGCGTACTCGATGACTCTCGCATATACCTCGCCCGCTTTGCAACCGTACTCGACGGCATTTTGTCTCCCCTGGCAGCTGACCAGCGCCCTCGTTGACCGTTCTCAGCGACCTCTAATTGCACCGGTAGATTTCCTATCGATTCATTCCTGCGCATCGCGGTCCTCACGAACGTTCTTCCCTTTTTCTATCGCTCTACAACCAACCCAACCCTAGGATCCCACTCACGGTACTGCAACTCGTGGCGACACCAGGTGATCCATATCGAGAAGGTAAGCCGATCGCGCACACACCCAGAGCATGGATTCATACAACATAATAGGTGGCATAATTGGCATTCAAGGATTACATATAATCGACCGTCGACAACGCCTCCTTTCTCAACGCTGTAATACACCGCCTACGAGGACCTTGACAACTCCGACCAGGTCCCCCGTCAGTGTCCAGGCATGGCTGCAGGTATGTACTGGACCGTGATGATGTACTCTCCCTCGAACTCATGGCCGCGCGGCGCACGCCACAGGCCTGTCACCCTCACATTCTCCTCCGGAATCGTCACCCTTCCTCCTCCCTCCGGGTCCCTCCAACTCGGTGGCGCCATGATGCGCATCCTCCCCAAAGTGGACGGAATGTCGCGGTACAGTGGCTTAAGGCGCTCGTACTCTGCCAACACGATCTTGCAAGCGGTCGTGGCGAGTTGATTGAGCGTGGCCCGCTTGATCGACAGGTTGTTGGTCTGCGTCCTGTCAAATCGCCACGTCCCGTTTGTACTGGGACGGTATCCCGGCCACTGCACGCCAAATGGTTTTGTGTTTCAGTCTATAACTCCATGAGGTGGTAGGCTATCGACTTACCTGGAAGCGCAGGACGATGAACTCCTCGTCTACGTCATAGAGAGGAATCTCCATCCCGTCGCAAAGCGAGATAGGTAGCCTGCAGGATGGAAGGGGGACACCCGTCGCAGGCTTTGTGTTGAACCCGCCGAGGCCGTCTGTTGCGCCCGTGGCCATGTTAAATTTGATCTCCGACGGAGCTGTATGGTTGCTCGTCTGCGGGAGCTGAACCCAATTGTCCATCACGGCGGGCTTCACCTCGACTTTTGTCGGGCGCTTCGTGGGGGAAACGCTCCGTCCACCACCCAGCATCCGCCGGTGCGGTGGCTCGTCCCGACGATCGACTCGTCCCCGGCGGTTCTCCGTCGGCGCACTGTATGCCTTGTCCGCATTGATAACCGTGTGTACTCCCTTCTTTGGGCTTCGTCCGCTGTACAGCTGCTCGCGGCGTGCAGCAGGGTTGGCTGGCCGCGCGCTTGCAGCTTCCGGTATGAAGCTTAGTGAAGGGACGGCGGCGAGCGGGGCGGGGGTCTTTGAAGGGGGGTGCCACTGGCCGTTCATGGCCTGTGTGACTTTAGTGCTGTTGCCAGGCTGGGGAGGGACATATGGATGCATGGCGAGGAGAATGAAGGCTGGTGAGCGGTTGGGGAAGCTACGGAGAGTGCGAGGAAATCGGTCCAGGGTTCCCTCCTTGCGTGCTGATTTTATGCTTTCCAGGCAGAGACGCAGACAATATACAGGTGGTTTAGGGCCCCATCGCCGCACGGGGAGGCCCGCCAGAATGGTTGTACTTCTTATTTATCGTTGGCCGCACTATTGATGTATTCTGTATATTGTAGCACGTTCCTTTGTTCGTCGGGCCTTGTATACATTCATCCCCAGCACTTGTGCCACATGCTCGACGATACTCCATGGTATACATTGCCGATGAGTTGCCTCTTTATCAAGTTGGCAAGAGATGTATCCATCGCTACCCCTTCGGCTTTTTGCCACAATGCTCATTCATCCTACAATTTTGCTTGCTACATACCTATGTTAGATTACATGCCTTGGGAGTCGGCCCTCGACAGTCGACGACGGACGTAAGTCACGTAAGTCGGAGACTGGAGCTTGGAGTCGTAAGTAGTAAGTTGTAAACTTGTAACTGTGACTTCAAAACTTCATTTTAAACTTGTAAGCGTACAGTGTACAGTGTACAGTGTACTTACTACTTAGTACTATGTCCCACTAAGTAGTAAGTTCTAACTACAGGGCCAAGTCCAACGGTAGGCAAAAACAGTCATTTCCCAAAATGATGCATTAACGGAGAATCGAACTCCGGGCGGGTCGAGCTTATAACATGGCAACGACCCAGGTTACCACTACCCCACTAATGCTTGTTTGTAACCGTAGAGGCTTACCCTATCAAGGTCGTGTGTCACGCAAAGTCAGATCAGACCCTTAGAGTCGTTTCAGAGCCTCGCCAGTGGTAGCCTTCCATCCATATTTTCCCACTTGTGACTGTCTCTTTGGACTCGGCGAGCAAGTAAAGCCTCTATATGATCTAACCCTTCGCAACAACTTCCAAGGAAGCAAACACTTGTCGCTAAGCACCCCCCCCATGGCGCGACGTCTCGCTCGAACTCGCTCTCCCTCCCGACCTGCACACACCTTCCCCTACACGCGCCTTTTCTTAGTTGTCCTCATCTTTCTTATCACCTGCCTCTACGTTTTTTCCTCGTATCTCCCGTCATTTTCTGCCTTCAAACTCTCTTCGCCGCCGGTGACGGCCCAGCATGCCTTCGACTCGCTCGCGGACCTGGACGAAGAGGGCGTAACAACACGCATCGTCGCGGTGGGAGACTTGCACGGGGATATCGGTAATGCGCACAAGGTGTTAGAGATGGCGAACGTCGTGGACGCGAAGGGTATGTGGTCGGGCAAGGTGGATGTGTTTGTTCAGACGGGGGATATCATTGACCGGTCAGTGCGGTCGGACGTCGTATATGCTCGTGCTCATGGATGTATGCGTGTGGGTGTAGGGGTGACGACACAATCAAGCTATTCGACTGGATGGAGAGGCTACGCGTGCAAGCCGAAGGCGCTGGGGGACGCGTGCTTTCGCACCTGGGGAATCACGAATGGATGAACGCGATTGGTCTGCTCGTCCACCCCGCACTCGTCCTCTTACCCCAGACTGATCTTCGGCCGCAGGCGACTGGCGGTAAGCAGCCTGTGCTGTGAATGCAAGAGTGCCTCTCTCATCGGTGTGAAAAGATACGTTCCCCAAACCGAGATCAAGACATTCGGCGGCGTGGCAGCGCGTCAAAAAATGCTGTCCACAGGTCGCATCGGGCGGGCGTGGGCGACGAACTACACAACCACATCCCGCCTTCCTCTACATCCTCTCCTCGGCGCGCCAAATGACGATTACCCACCTGCACCGGAGTCCTTAGCTGCTTCTCTCCCTTCGCCGCTCACTCACGCGGCCTACTCGTTCGTGCACGGAGGCCTCGCACCCGCGTACCCTGCTCTGCAACCCTTCCCGTCTGCGATCAACGCTTTAGGCGCGAGCCTCCTGCACAAGCTGCAAACGCGCACCCAACCTCCGCCGCATCCGCCTAACCCGTACCCAGGACTGCCGGCGGACACGACCGAGGAAGAAGACAGACTGTATGGCACGGATGGCCCGCTGTGGTATCGCGGATGGGCCCTCGGAGACGAGAAGGAAGTGTGCAAGGCGGTGGATGCAGTTCTGCAGAAGACGGGAACGCGTCGGATGATTATGGGCCATACGCCGGATTTCAAGGTATGTGGATTCGCGTCCGTGATTTTCAGGAGGTCAGCTGACGGCGTGCTAGAAAATCGTGTCAAGGTGCGAGGGGAAGATCGTCATCATAGACACCGGTGAGTGGCCTGAGTGCTGTGCGGGTGGGGCCGAATCGAGGAACTAATGGGTTCGATTGCGGGCAGGGATCTCGCATGCGTACGGCGGTGTGCTGTCGGCGTTATCGGTGGAATACTCGCTAAGGCCATTGTCCAAGTCGTCGACGTCGAGGCGGTGGCGGGAGACGGAGGTGGTGACCGCGTTGTACGGGTCCGGGGAAGAAGTGGTATTAGTGGACGAGGGGCGGGATGTGTACGGGGGCCTGTGACGAGGTGGGTTGTATATGACGGAATCGCCATTATATCTGAAGCCCAAGGCCAAGAGCCCAGGTGTTCTAGCGGGAAGTGATCGAAAGCCAGGTGCCAAAGCGGGGTGGTCCGCTCCGAGATTAGGGGTTGACGTCATTGGATAGACCTGGTAATAAGCTCAGATTTTCTTGCCTTCTTCCCCTCGTCAACTTTGTTTCCTCCTCCCTTTTTTTCTGTCCATGCTTGGATTCTTCAACCGCGACACCACGAACCCTCCCCCGAACGACCGTACTATCTCAACCGACTCTGTCGACCCCATCCCCGGCGGTCCATCTCCTGATTTCCCCTCCAAGTTCAAACACCAGTCTCAGACTCCCCCCAACATCCCCGCCCCCGCCCCCACCATGAACGGCACCACCACCGAAGCCATCCCCGCCGAGAAGCTGGCCCCCATCGCCGAGCCTGCGGTCACGCATGCCACTGAAACAGCGTCAGAGGCTCCAACCACCGATACCACCGTCGCGTTCGCTCCAACTTCCGAACAACCGCCTCGCTTTGTCGAACACGTCAGTGAAAGCACCGTTACCAAGTCAGAACCAGATACCGCTGCAGACGTTCACCGACAACCTTCGGTTGCCGTCGGTGGTCCACCCGCTCCCTTGGCCACTCCACCTGCCCAGGACGAGAAAGCGCTGGATCCGCCGCCTCAGCATCCCGCCGTCCTTGCCGCAGGTGCCGGCGTGTCTTCTCCCGCCGACACGACACCTCCCCTCACTGCGTCAGAGCCTACCCATTTTACCCCCGACGTCAAGGAGGCCATCGACGCGCCCGCCCGGACTGCCTCCCCCAAGCCCATCCTTCGCAACGGAACGCTCACCTCTACCACGACGTCTCCCCACGCCCGCAACGCGTCGGTCATGTCGAGCGCAGCACGTGCGACCAATCCCAAGCCCGGCTCGACGATGACGCACAGTACCCGGAGCGCGGACAATCCCAACGGCAGCACCTTTGCCAACGGCGCGGCCACGGCTGCCCCGCTTTTGGATGTCGACGAAACTGTCCACGAACGCCGGGTGACAGCCGAGGAAGACATCTCGGCGCAGGATGAGGTGAAAATCAGCAAAGAAGAGAGTGAGTAACTTTACTCAAATTCTGGAGGAGAAGGAAGCTCACGCGTAAGGTGGGATCGTAGGGAAACATAATCGCACACTGTCCAAGGTCATCAGGAACGAGGCTGCCGCGGAGAAGAAGGCACTTGAAGTCGCACTGAAGGAACTGGGCGAACTTCAGAAGATCCAGAAGGCGGCTGTCAAGGTTGGTTGCTGGGCGTTTGCATTCAAAGCCTGACTCTGACGCAATTATTTTTAGGAGGAGTCCGGCTCCCATACCGCCCACGCAAAGGCCCTTGCTGACGAGCACAAGAAGGAAATGGCCCTACTCGCTGCTCGCAGTGCGCACGAGAAGGCCGTAACGACGCTTCAGTCCGCCGAGGAGGCTCTCGAGGCAAGCCGCCAACACGCTCGGGAAACGACCGAGATGCTCAGGCTCAAGGCCGAAGAGGTTGAGCATCTGCGTGTTGTTAAGGGCACCGACGACCGCGAGCGTGCGGTCAAGATACGCGAACTCGTTGGCGACGTACGTCTTTCACGCCTCCTGTTCGGGTTCTTCGCTCACTCTGGACAATTTACAGGAGAAACGGGGTCTCTCGCGTTTCTTCGGTCATTGAGCACAAGTCTGCAGACGATCTCGAACCTCGTTCCGTGTTTTTCTTTGGAATGGGCCATACCCCGACATTCTATGTTACTAGGGCGGCGATTCCGCGCCTAATCTTCTTTATGTTGGTGTAATCCTCTCGCCTCTTTGGTGTATATGATCTACCGTAATTTTTTCGTGGAATACCAACCCTGTTACCGATCCCATTGACCCAGATTCAGCACTTCCATCCTGTCTTATAGTCACTCTAAGCGCGTTTGCCTTCCGCTTTA